CAGAACCAAAAAAAAATGGTGGACACATTCCTTGTACGAATTGTGTTCAGCTTAAATCATTTATATATAAGAGAGAGAGCTTATATTTCCCTGCAAAGGATAATTTAGAGACTTTGACATGTCCATTCATGGTTTATTTGAGGTATGGGTACAGTTTAAGATAGATCAACTGTAGTGTATTATCTGTTAATTATTTCAGGGATGGCCATTTTTCTATGTGATGCCTGCTATTTTTCTTGGATCTTTCTTCATTCCAAAGTCATTCATCCAAAGTCTGATAAAGAAGCGATACGGCTTAATGAATGATGAAGACTCGGATCAGATCCCAGCAGAAACAAGGATCCTTCTGGAAGAAGTAAGATCATTACTGTGAAACTTGTCTAATCCATAATCATGCCTAATAGTAATATGATGTGAATTTTAAGTTTTTTAGTAAATTCATTTGGTTAAAAGTTGTATAATCTGAAATGTTGTTTAATCTGATTGGTTTCTTTGGTACAAGTGGTGTGCAGATTAGACAAGTTTTACTGTATTTACTCAAGGAAAATGGGTTTTACGTTGTGAAAAATAAAATAAAAATTTAATTAAAGATATTTATCAGTAAGCTTTTCTAATTTTACAATTTTAACTTCTCCAGGTAAATAACCAATGAAATATAAAAGAGCCTCCTTTTTCTCGTTATATTAAACGTGCAATATAAAGTTTGCCAAAATTCTATTTGGCATACTTAAAAACTACTTGATTGTGAAATGTGTACTTAGAAGCTACACGTACCATGATAGTACTTTAATGTGTTATTCCCAATATTATCCTTGTGTTTCATTAGGATGAAAAAAAAAATTCCAAAGGATATTTGCTATGTCATCTTTGTTTTAAAATATGAGTACCGGTACTATGTACAATATGCATTTTTTTTAAAGGTGTTAAATGATCTCAAGGAATCGGAAACAGGTTTACCTGGCAAACTTTTGGATTACCCATACAAGGACCTAGCTCTCTACAGATGTAAAGGAGAAGAGATAGTGATACACAAGCTCATCGACATCCAATCTGTATCGTTCCGGGTGCTGATAGGCATCCCTTCACACTTGTTAAATAGCAAAACAGGTGAAGCATCTGCTCAGAATCCACCAGCGTTCACTGGAAATCCCATCAAGACTTCATTTAGTTCATCCAGTTATAAACAGTCATCTCCGTCACTTTCAGAACTGAGAGGAAATGAATCGTTAGGGTTTCTGGGAAATGAAAAGTCAACCCTTTCTTCTTCGAAATCAAGAGACTCATCTATAGGGACTCTTGAGGACCCTATGGTACCGAAGGGAAGTAACTCTCAAAGTAACGCGGAAGAACAGGAGGAAAGTGAAAATTCCGAAATTCTTGATTACATTTCGGATATTTCCAGATGGGAGAAAAAATTTGCCATTCTTCGGGAAATATTGTTATCGAGACAGTATTTCCAAGAAGAGGCTGTGTTTTATTACATCATTTTGATGTTTTTCATTTTGTCATTGTATTTGACACCTCCATACTATAGACTTATTTATTTGAATATTTTCACAATCAATGGTTTGATTTTAAAATATCATAGATGTAACGGTAATGTGATTAGGAAGAAAAGTCACGAACAAGTGCTCAAAATCCTCACCGCCAGCGAACTTCAAAATCATTCAAACTATGTAGCGGCAGGCAGAAGATACTGCATGAGAAGGCTTAAACAAAACTGTAACACGTACAGACTTCAGAAAAGGAAGGCAGAAGACTCTTTCCAGGATAAACTTCAGTTGCTTATGAACGTCGCTCTCCATCGCTTTGTACCGAACTGTGAAAACGTGTACAACTGTGCAGGAGGAGTGCGGGCGTGGCCAGCAAACTATTTCAACCAAGATTTCTTTTGGGCTTACCGGATGCAGAAACATGTGAAAGAGTTAAACAGTGTGACTGTTAAAGAGGTGAAAAATATAAAGTAGAGTTATATATGGTCATATTCGAAAACGGTTGACAAATAAAATACTTATATATGTATTTATTTACTGCAGTTTTGATTTCACTGATTAAAAGACTAATGCATATGAGTTAAAGCTGGGTATGGGCAATTCTATGCAAGTAAGCTTATATAAACCAGAAGTCTCTGTCGAGACTGTAGCTCTACTGGTTTGTACTTTAAACAAAGGGAGGCAAAAGTAGCAGTTGGGATAAAAAACTACAAAAGCAATAAATAGAATAATGATCCTTGATTAAGTCTCTTTTTGTGGCAAGATTGCAAGAAGACCTCAACTGTAGGAGTACCTTTCAATAAAATTTTACAGAATTTTGAATTTTAGTTACCATGGCAACATCATTCATAAAAAAACGATAAAGACAATTATGTTTCTCAGTGTAGACTACTTGTATGCCACATAATACTATATAATCAGACTAAAACTGTATTTGGAGTAGAATTTTTTAAGTATTTTACAAAAATTTCTATTTTTTAGTAATCACGGCAACACCATTCATTGAAAACATAAACTGACACACAGAATTATGTATCTTAGTCTATTTGTGTGCCAAGTTACATGTATATTAAAATCAGACAAACTGTAGGAGGAGTAGAATAATATTTTCGTCATTCATACAGTATTTTGAAATCCAGTTAGACATTTTGCTTAAAAAAAACCCTACAATTTTCAGTATTCAGTGCATAAATATTTACAACTGTAATAATTCTACTACATGTATCGTGTTCAATGTATTATGTATCTTAGAATTATGTATCATAGCCTAGTCTACGTGTGTGCCAAATTATACTGAAATCAGACCAAAACTTTAGGAGGAGTAGCGTTTTGAAAGTACATGTATTTCACAGAAATTTCTATTTTAGTATCCACGACAACACCATTCATCATGAACATAATTGAAAGTTCCAAAATTTGTATAGTATATGTTTTTACAAAGTTAGATAATCAAATTAGGCCCCTTTGAACAATGTAGACAAAAAGATTATGCAAATGTTCAGGTAATACTAACGGATTACAAGATAATGTACACGTAGATATAAGACTAGAGAGTCACTCACATATGAACAAAGTCACAATTTGGTCATACAAGAAAAGCGAATTTATCTCACTAACCAGAAGTCTCTGTCGAGACTGAAGCTCTACTGGTTTGAACTTATAGCAAAGGAAGAGAAAAGTACTTAAGCAGCTGGGATTTGAAATAAATAGAATAATGATCGTTGATAAAGTCTCTTTATGTTCTTAGTGTAGTCTACTTGTGTGCCAAGTTATACTGAAATCAGACCAAAACGTAGGAGGAATAGCATTTTGAAAAAATTTTACAGACATTTCTATTTTTAGTAACCACGGCAACACCCTTCATCAAAATTAAAATTTAATCACAGAATTATGTTTTTAGTGTATTCTACTTATGTGCCAAGTTATATTGAAATCAGACCAAAACTGTAGGAGGAGTAGCATTTTTAAACAATTTTTCAGATATTTTATTTTTTGTAACCACGGCAACACCGTTCATCAAAATTGAAAACCGATAAATAGAATTATGTATCTTAGTGTAGTCTACTTGTGTGCCAAGTTATAATGAAATCAAACCAAAACTGTAGGAGGAGTAGCATTTTAAAGAATTTCACAGAAATTTCTATTTTTAGTAACCACGGCAACACCATTCATCGAAATCAAAAAGCGATACACAGAATTATGTATCTTAGTGTAGTCAACTTGTGTGCCAAGTTATAATGAAATCAAACCAAAACTGTAGGAGGAGTAGCATTTTAAAAGAATTTCACAAAAATTTTTATTTTTAAACCCAGGCAAACCGTCATCAAAATAAAACCGATACACAGAATTATGTTTTTAGTGTAGTCAACTTGTGTCCAAGTTATACTAAAATCCCAAAACTGTAGGAGGAGTAGCGTTTTGAAAGAATATCACAGAAATTTCTATTTTTAGTAACCACGGCAACACCGTTCATCAAAATCAAAAACCGATACATAGAATTATGTATCTTAGTGTAGTCTACTTGTGTGCCTTTAAATAAATAAACCAAAACTGTAGGAGGAGTAGCATTTTAAAAATTGTTTACAGACAGACGGACAGAAAACGGACAGACGGAGGGACCCGGACGCATTACCATCGCATAAGCTCTTCTGGTCTCTGACCAGTAGAGCTAAAAACAACAAAATGTAAAATTGAAATTAAAATCCAAAAGTACTGCTAACTGGCTAAGCAGTACTGAAAAGCGCCTTTGATTTTTCTACAAAGTAATTTGGTGGTTAGTTTGATTGAGCTCAAGCTGTGCACTTATCAGTTAAACAGGAAAGTTCATATTTATTTTAATGTTTAACATAAAAAAATGACCTTCACCAAGTATGTTCTAAGTACTAGCAGTGCGTCAAGCAAACAATGAGATGCATTGCACTGCAATGATATCTTATTTAAGGGGCCAGTATACATGTACGAGATACACGAAATAGTTAACCTTTTTTAAATTTTACAGCATCTCAGGAAGCTTTCACACAGGTTTCTTGGCTTTAAAAAAAAGAATTTTTATGTGCCCGGATTGATAGATCGAGGGCGCATATTTTGTCCTGTCTGTCTGTTTGTCTGTCTGTTGTCAACTTTAACCTTCGCCATAACTTTCGAACCATTAGAGATAGAGACTTCATATTTGGTATGCACTTACTCCACTAGTTCAGCTCTTTCAAATGACACCAAGTTCAATGACCTTGTGACCTTGACTGTGACCTTCACCATAACTTTGAACCATAAGAAAATTTAGATATAATAGTACCCCAGGAAGCTACCTTGTGACAAATACATAAGTGATCTGTTACATGTAACCTAAATGTGGGCTTATAAACTAATCCTTCCTTTTTAGTTTGCTTATATGCAGTTTATATGCCCCTCACCAAAAAAAAAAAAACCCAAATTATCAAATGTATGTGTTAAATGAACAAAGATGATCTGTTTTAATATTTATTTTATTTTAACAGTCAAGCACTTAAATCAATACACATAAAACAATGAGTTAGAAGCATTCCAGTCATTTCAGTCCTTTTATGTTCACTCCTCCACTATTTTTTATCCAATAGGAACCTTTTTACTGCTCCAGGGAATCCCCCCTTTCCCCTGAGGCTCGGTGTAGAAGTATTATCCCTCCTCGTGGGAATGAAAAATTAAATTTTTAGACAAAAAAAATATTTGAAGATATATTTAATTTTTAATTATGAAGAACAATAAGAAATGTTTCATGAATGTGTCATGTTAGATTATCATAATTTACATGTTTTCAGCATGTTGGCCTATTTTCAGAAGTGGGTTAGACCCAGGGGCGAGAAATTTCCCCATCTGTAATGATGTTCTATTGAAACTTTTCAAAGGGTCGATTTATTCTCTCATTTAAAAAACTATCAAAATCATTGTAAAATAATTATAATTTGTCGTAAAAAAAATGGGCCACATAAAGTAGTTTTGGCACATCAACCTAAGTTTATATTTCAGCAGTGACCCCCCTTTAAAAAGACAGCAGAAAAGGCACTAAAATGTGCACATTCATGTGTACAATGTACTATACATTGTAATATAGTAAACTAAGTTTACTCACTCTGAAAAATCGTTAAACACAAAGGATTCGGGTGTAAACTGGATCTAGGGATGTCTCCACTTTTAGGATGACGATTGTAAAGTCACGCGCTGGATGGTCCCCCAAAAAAATTAATTGAATTTCAGAAATCACATATTTTCTGTTCTGTGAAAAAAAACTTTATATCAATACAAAAAAAACAGACAAGGTGATCAAGTACTGTTATTATGGAATTTGGTCAACTGGGAAAGAAAGTACTGTGAAATCACCAATTTTCATGGAGGTTTAATTTTCGTTGTTTTCGAGGTATGGAGAAACCCAACAATTTATATCCACCACATAATGTTAGCTTTCATATGCATTAAAACTTTCTCAAACCACAAAATCAAATACCCCACAAACCAATATTTTTTTCTTCAAACCTCAAAAATTTTACCCCACAAAAATATGTGAATGTACCATGCAAATTAAAGAGCCACCAGACATATGGTAAGAATCTGAAGATACATCAAACATATACAGCGTATATGGTAATCTTAAGAATAATTACAATGATTACTGTATGCAGGAAAAATTTCGCCCCCGTTTTATTTTCACCCTACCCCCATTTGAGTGAATTTAATGTGGGGCGAATTCAAGGACTGCATAATTATAATTTTCTTAAAAAAAACATGACTGGGCAAATCTAAAATGGGGGCAAAATTGTTTGCAAGTGTAAAAGGGCGAAAATACCTTGGGGGGGAAAATAACCCTGTATACAGTACAACCTTTAAATTTCCATACGGTGCATCCAAAACTTAGCATTACCCTAACACAACTCGATCATATCTTGTCACTGAATTTAGCAGTACTAGTAAAGCTACATACCATTGCTCCACTTTTCCCATCTTCTCTCAAGAACATAGATTTAGGCCATGGAAAATTAATTTCTTGGTTCTCAGGCCTTTTTTCAAAAAATATGATGAGGGAGAAAGGCTTTTTTTCTCTTTTTTATTGCCCCCAAATCCTGATGAGGCTGCTTTTTACTTTGTACAAAACCTCAAAAAATGATGAGGGAGGTGATTTGTTGTTTTAATTTTATTGATTTAGCAATAAAAAGGGTCAATAGGGACCCTTGGAAGAGATAGGGAGGGCCTGAGAACCAAGAAATTAACTTTTTATGGCCTTACGTACATGGAGTAAATTATTCACACACAGATAACAGTACCTCTATAGTACTGGTTACGTACCATCGCCTCCAATCTGCCCAGCTCCTCTCGTGAACGTGCCTCCAGTGTAAGAATTTATCATCTCTCAGTAGCGTGTCCTTAAACGGGTTAAAGTCTATCTTCTCCAGCTCTTCTACAATTAAGAATAAACAAACAGATCACAGATAAAGAATTTAGTGAAAGAGCCTCATGCTTTTAGGCATACATGGGTTCATTTCATTTTAAAATATTTACATTCGTTGTTTTTTACTACTAAGCCAACTGTGAAATTGATTTGAATACCATTTTCATGTATACTATATGCAGAAATATAACCCGGGGAACGTGCGTTAACATGACGTCACAATGAGGCTGCAGCGACATTAGTAAAAGCGCAACAATATAGTGCAGCGAAAACTTCAAATATTTAGAATATTTTAGTTGCTTCCAAACATGTAAAATGTAAATATAAAGAATGTTTTTCAGTTTAGTTTTAATCATTGGTGTGTGAATCACACAGTTTAGTAGGACATTTTTTATTAAGCGTACGGCCATAAATTCCCCCGTGAAAGTTTTTTGATTAAACCAATAATATAAAAGGTAAAAACATTCCCTAATTGAATAGACTAAAATCGTGGAATAAAAAATTTTTTCTCCCTTACAGATATTCAATCCGACGTAATGAATGTAGTGTAACAGAGAGAAACCCGTAGGTTTTGCTGATTTATGTAATGGAGAGAAAACATGTGGGTTTGGACGATGTGTAATAGATTAAATTTCAAGTACATGTATTTGATCACTTTAAATGGTCAAGAACAGAGACAATGTGAGGGTGTTACAAACAGATGTCAGAAAACATGTTATCCCACTTCTTTTACTCCTTCTTGAACATTAATCATGAGAGAGTGGGCTGCCCAACAATGAGTCATATAAAAATAGTCTAAACACATTGCATGCTGTATTTCCTAATAAGCAAATCTATTACTCGATACATTGCGTCTATGCATGTTCTGTGTACAACTGTTTCTTGTGGGTGTACAGTTATTCGGGAAATAGACCTGCTCCAGAAAAAAAAATACTGTTTATTTACAATTCTGTATAAAAACACTGAAACCCCTTTTTTTTTTGTGCGAGAGAAATTTTCGCAAAAGTTCGGGGAGAGCCTCCCCATCGCGAATTTGGGCCGCGAACCCGTCCTTAAAGTGTATGTGTCTATTAACAACAACCAAAAAGGTTTTGGGATCGCAAAAAATTAATCGTCGCTAACTAGTTTATCTCTTAAAAATTTAGGAAATAAATCGCCGCGAATAAAGTAGGTTTACGGGTATTAGGTATGTCTTTAAAGTTACAGACAAAAGAAGGCAAAATCTTAGGACAAAGGACTTTTTAAATTTTTGGGTTTTAAGAAAATGATCAAATAGACAACAAGCACTTTACAATTTTCCAAATCCTGGTCAACTGAGCTGAAAACAATTTTCTATAATCTTTGATCTTGGGAGCATAGTAATAGTGGGAATAAGAGGCAACAATATTTTTTTTAAATTAAGGTTTCAATGAATGACTCACCAAGTCAAAGTCTGGCAGATTATCAGCATCTAGAACCATTATTTCTGAGAATGGTCTGAAAAAAAATTTAAAAGAGATTCTATAAAATGACTTTGCAATCTTAAAAATAATGCTGTAGTAGTATATCATGTACGAGGGTTGATCCAAAAGTTCGTGGAATTTTTTTCCCTAAAATTTTATTTTTGTTTTTGATGAAAGCAAACAATAGGCATATCATAATAAAGAGTCATAATGTAACAATATTGGAAAATTCACCATGTTCCAATTACCAATAAGGTAACCCCAAGCTTTCTGAAAATGAATAGTTGTAAAAATTGGGGGAAATTTCAGTTACGTCAAATTAGACATGTCACGTCACATTATAGAAGCATCTCACCCTAATGCCCAAAATTTGAATACTTAATTCTACAAAATGCTCCCCTTTTTTAATTTTTTTTTTACAAAAGGCCGGGGTTTCCCTTTTGCCCCCCAATATATTCATTTTTCACTCATATATAAAATACTCCCCATCTTTCCATATGATGTTTCCAGTTTCAGTAGCAATGTTTGGAACAGTACATCAGCCGACAACGTCCATTAACGCTTTTAAAATTGTCAAGGGGGATAAACATTTAAAAGAACCCTAAAAAGGGAGCCACACCTTTATGCAATGTCTAAAAAAATTTCCAATTTTCCTTAAATTTCTTACACAACTGGGAAACCAGTAATCAAATGCATTTTTCCCTAGCCTATGTCAATAATATAAGTTTTTAAAGATACAGTGATCCGGGAATTTTACAAAATGTATGACTTTACCGAAATTTGAGGGTAGTCTAAAAACCTACAGTTTTGAACAATAAATTATCAATTAATAAACTAAATATGCAGCAAAATTGGTAAAACTTTAAAAAAAAGGTTTATAAAAGATCAAGCAATTGTAATAACGACATATTCATTTTCTATAACACATACGGTGTTTTCTTCTCATTTCAAGTATAAAGAATTAAAATGAAAAAAAACGCATTGATGTTTCCCCGCATTTCCAAACATCCGTTTCTATGGCAACTGTCATAGAGTTACTATCAGAAATATTTAAAATATTTTTTTTTTTAAAAATATTCAACAAGTGCCTATATTTTCATTTGTAATTTTCAACCAATTTCACTTATAAATAAATAAAATATGAAAAAATTTCCCCACGAACTTTTGGATCAACCCTCGTACATGCATATTAAAATTTTTAAAATTAAAAAATTTCCAATAACGAAAAAGAAATTTTTCAAAACTTTAATCCACACTAGACAAAAAAGGACTTAAATAGTTTTTTTTTTCTGTTTTGCATCCAAATATGCCTCCATTGAAAAACTTTTTTTTTTCCTTCTTCCTCCTTCTTTTTACGTTTGAAAAACTATATTATGAAAGTCACCCTTTTATGGTTTTTGTGTAATTTGTAGGGTTTTGTGTAAAGCAATCATTTACCCGGGAAAAATTTTGAACGGGGCCCGGGTTACAGATGCCCCCAAACGCTCCCCAAACCCCTTTTTTGGCCCCAATTCCTTTAAAACTTTAAAAAAAATTTAAAAGTATCGAAGGATTTTATCAAAGAATAATAAAAGCTACAATGATATCAACTATATGTCATTTAACGCATTGTACGTGCACGCACGTGCATGTACATGCAAGATGATCACGGCATGTTGTCTAAACAATTAACATATCTATATATCAAAAATAAATAAAAAAAATTTCTTTAAAATATATATTTTAATGTTTTTTTTAAAAAAAAAGTACGAAGGGTTGCCCGCAACCCTGTGTCTCGCCTGTGTCGCTGTGGTTAGTAAGAAATAATTTGTTTGATAAACTGAAGTTTTTATTGACATTTCAGAAGGAATAACTCAAAAATACAATAATAAAGAAATGGAACAGCTGACTTTAAAATCTAATCCCTTGGCCCATTATATTGGCATTTATATATATATACATATACCCCCGTAAATTCACAAATTATTGTGATGTTTTTATTATTGCGAATATTGCAACGTGTTATGAGTCGCAATAATTTGAACTTGCATTTTGAAATCAAATCCACTGTATATGTATCAAGTCATTCATGCAGAAAATGTAGGTGAAGATTACCTAATTTTTGGGACTGATATTGTTGGTTTTTTTAATGATGTTGGAGACTGACAAATTATCATGCCACTATAAGTTATAGTTGTGGGTATGGACCTCCACCATAAATTTATGCAAAGTCACTCATGCAAAAAAGTAGGTCAAGATGACCAATTTTGGTACAGGCGTTTGTGGTTACCCATAGTATCCACTGACAAATTATCATGCCACTATAAGTTATAGTTGCTGAGATATGGACCTCCACCATAAATTTATGCAAAGTCACTCATGCGGAAAAATGTAGGTCGAGATGACCTAATTCTGGTACAGGCCTTGTGGTTACCCATGATGTATCCACTGACTAACTATCATGCCGCTCTGGTTCTCGCTGCTGAAATATGAACCTCCATTATCAATTTAACCAAAGTCATTCATGCAGAAAAATGTAGGTCAAAATGACCTAATTCTGGTACTGATGTTGTTGGTTACTTATAACCTGTACAATGACAAATCATCATGCCATTATAAGTTATAGATGCTGAGATATGGACCTCCACCAAAAATTTAACCAAAGTCACTCATGCAGAAAAATGTAGGTCAAGATGACCTAATTCTGGTACTGACGTTTGTGGTTACCCATGATGTATCCACTGACTAATTATCATATCCCTATAACTTATAGTTGCTGGAATATAGGTCTTCACCATAAATTATCATGAAAAAACTAAGTCCAACTTAAGGAAAAAATACGGAAAAATTTGAATTTTTTTTTTCAAAATCATACTTGGGATATAAATTTTTATCCATACTGAATATTGTGTCCAAATTTCAAGATACTTGAATAAAATTTGAGAAAGTTATTGCAGTTTATAAAACTTTGACATTTGGGTTAACCAAAAGTTGGACGCCGACGACGACGACGACGGAATCTATGGTCGCTATGTCTCGCTTCGCGACATTCGTCGCAGGCGAGACAAAAATGGCATTTTGCGTATTTCGCGCGTGCACGTGCATGAATGTCTGTTCGTGTATTCAATTTTGATAGTACCATTATGTAGGAATCATTATACCTATCATATTCTAAATTTTATCCCGTTTCATAGAAAACTAAAAAAGTTAAAGACATTTAAATTTTCAGCCAATCAGATTGCAGCAATCATTCATGCGCAGGCTTTTCATGATAATTCTTATATACCATGCTGTAGATCTTCATAAAGTATAACAATGTTCAAAATTTCAAAGGATTTTGTCGAAAAACAAGAAAGATATTGAGACTTTAGTTTCAGCCAATCAGAGCGAGGTACACGTGCATGCGCTTGAGATCTTGCTATTTTGACCATGTCCTCTAGTCTATGCTTCTCATAATTATATCCTTATATTATAAGTTTCAAAACATTCCATCAAAAATTTAAATAGTTACATCTATATCAATTATATTGGACATATCTGGCGTTGAGTTTCAAAGCATTTAATAAAAAAAATAGAAAAGTTACGGCTATATCTATTATATTGGTCATTTCACGTGTTGCATGTGCACGCTCTTGCAAGCACGTGCGCGCAAAATGACCTTCGTTCCGCAAATCTACATAACATGCCTACTGACCCTAAAAAGGTTTCACCTTAGTTGGATGTGCAGTTTACAAGATCACTCGCGGAAAAGATTTTCCCAGGAAGAAGAAAAAAAATAATAATAATAACTAGAAACTCTTGTTGCTACAGCAACAAAGAAGGTCTTCCGTTTTCCTCTATTTATCTGTATGCAGGATTTTTTTTTCTATTTTAAACAAGAGGCCCAGGGGCCACAGCGCTCACCTGAGCACATCGGGCTTGAATTTACTCCCCCCCCCCCCTCCAGGCATTCATCATATGAACAAACTAGAATCTACACTACCTGAGGATGATTCCATATAAATATCACTAATCATAGCTTTGAAGTACTTGAAAAGAAGATTTTAAAAGGTTTCCCTATATATCCCTATGTAAAACTTGGGTCGGCCATTTTGGCCCCACCCTAGCCCAGGGAGTCATGATTTGAACAAACTTGAATCTACACTACCTGAGGATGATTCCACCTGAGTTTCATCTTTCCTGGCCCAGTGGTAATTGAGAAGAAGATTTTTAAAGATATTTCCTATATATTCCTATGTAAAACTTGGGTCGGCCATTTTGGCCCCACCCTAGCCGTGGGGGTCATGATTTGAACAAACTTGAATCTACACTACCTGAGGATGATTCCACATGAGTTTCATCTTTCCTGGCCCAGTGGTTCTTGAGAAGAAGATTTTTAAAGATTTTTCCTATATATTCCTATGTAAAAATTGGGTCGGCCATTTTGGCCCCACCCTTGCCCTGGGGGTCATGATTTGAACAAACTTGAATCTACACTACCTGAGAATGATTCCACATGAGTTTCATCTTTCCTGGCCCAGTGGTTCTGGAGAAGAAGATTTTTAAAGATTTTTCCTATATATTCCTATTTAAAACTAGGGTCGGCCATTTTGGCCCCACCCTACCCCCGGGGGTCATGATTTGAACAAACTTGAATCTACACTACCTGAGGATGATCGCACATGAGTTTCATCTTTACTGACCCAAAGGTTCTTGAGAAGAAGATTTTTAAAGATTTTCCCTATATATTCCTATGTAAAACTTTGATCGGCCATTTTGGCCCCACCCTACCCCCGGGGGTCATGATTTAAACAAACTTGAATCTACACTACCTGAGGATGATTCCACATGAGTTTCATCTTTCCTGGCCCAGTGGTTCTTGAGAAGAAGATTTTTAAAGATTTTCCCTATATATTCCTATGTAAAACTTTGATCGGCCATTTTGGCCCCACCCTACCCCCGGGGGTCATGATTTGAACAAACTTGAATCTACACTACCTGAGGATGATTCCACATGAGTTTCATCTTTCCTGGCCCAGTGGTTCTTGAGAAGAAGATTTTTAAAGATTTTCCCTA